TAGTCGTCGCGGAATATATTGGAGTTTCACCCTAGTGATATAAAAAACACTAGCGAAAAACATATTTCACGACTACTGCATACCACCGCGAATTTCGCGGTTTTCACCGAGTTTTACGCCACTTCACGTAAAACGGGGTTGTGAAACTTTATTATTCACCAGTGTTTTTTATATCACGGCCTGTGGAACTCCATTATTACTACTACTACGGTTATCCCAGGAAATGAGATAACCTGAGCCCTCAGCTGAGCTCAGGAGTTTCCTAACTCATTCGAAGAGTTTATATACGAATTATGGTAGAAATTTCCAAAAACCAATGAAAATTTCCCAAAATTCCCGCAGAATTTTCAGTGTCATCACCAACACATGTTGTAGTTGACCATGTGCATATTCCTCAACACTGAACTCTTCTATAGGTAACCATATGCTCTTCAGCATGTGGCTGTGTGCTCTTTGTGGACTTCCTGGGTTCGCTGCTGGCTGTGGTATCGTGTGGGTTGCTCTGAGGAATATGTACGGATTCACGTAAGTTGAAATAACACATCATATCATCGTACAGTGTTGGAGTAGGAATATAAGTTCGCTTTCCTCAGCTGAGCTCAGAAGAGTTTCCAAAGCTAATTATATTAAGTCTGTATGCGAATTCGGGTAGAAGCGTCAGAAATCATCAAAAATTTTCCGAAATTCCTAAAGAATTTTCAAATTCTCATCAACGCATGTAGTTGATTATGTGCATATTTCCCCGTTGTCAGATATCGCATGACGAAGGGAAGCTTGAAAGCGATATTGAAGTTCACTTTCCCCAGCTATGCTCTCGTACAGGCGCTTTATTTCAGTAGCACATGGACTAGTCGAAACTCTACCATTTAAACCAATAGGTTCGGCTACTGCTGATGAGTGTGTATGAATTGATAGTTTGAATAATAACAATGTAGTTTCACCCGTGGTGTGAAAAGCACTAGTGAGAAACATAATTCACATTTCGAGCAGTGAGTAACGCGTAAAACACGTGATGTGTGTTACGTGATATGGGCTGATTCGTCCAGTGTAATTCGCCAAGTATTTTCAATTCACTCCATATTGCGTTTTCCACAGAGCATTTCGCCACTTCACGTAAAACGGGTAAAACTCCATTATAATAATCGATAACTCAGAATTAACAACTGTGTATGTGAAGGCGATTCGCAAACCAATTCTCGCGCCTAAATGTCATATGTTGCTGAGAGGGGAAATCATAACTTTTTCTATGCCTCAGGAGTAACACAGAGAATCCTGAGTGTCGCGTTCGATATCGATGAGCTGAAGTCGTATGTCATAGCCGGGGCAGGACTTGCTGCTATCAATTTGTTTACGTTGGGTACGGCAATGTGTCAGAGGAAGCACTGCGAAATATGGGATAAGAATCTCAAGCGAGATTCGTAACACTCTAGAATCGCTTGAGAATGATAAGAGTTTTTGCGAGGTGTCGGTCTGTGATGTAAAGGGGATTCTCAGACGTTTCCGTAATCTTTTTTGAGCCGTTTTTCAATCACTACGAACTGCTGACTTTGTGTTGCAGTCTGCCAGGATGTACATGCCTTCGAGGCATTGATCAATATACCGAATTGGAAGTCGAATGAGATATAAAATAGTATCTTATCGAGTCGGTACCGAAACTATCAGATACATAACAACGTGTCTTTCTGTTATGTAGTAGTAGTGATGTGAGACCCAGCAGGGTTGTACGTGCTGTATATATATTCCTACACATGGAATCCTTCGTTATCGACAATTCTTGATTAAGCTGAATGACTTCTTAAAGGGTAAGACCAACACTCGAACTTCCATTCGTATCACTTGCAGAGTTCGGTATCCCCACTCATAGGAACTCAAGATCAGAGCAAATGCAAAAAAATGCGTTTTTTAGCGAGAGTATACAAGTCACGATAAAGATAGAGGGCTCTTCTCGCCTCACATGCCCATGAATGAAAAAACAAAATCACACAGAAGTTTATTCCACGATTGATCATCCGCTAGAGGCCAACTTGCGTAGAACATACCTGTGATGAGGAGAGTTAATACCAACTATCCATAAGAATCACAAAAACCTACTGCAGTATGCCACCATGCTTGAAGTATGTAAGTTCGACTTCAGTATCCAATCTCACGAGAACTTCAAAGGCTGGTGCGTTGCTGTTGGTCGTTCGCACTGTCAACATCTGTGGAAAAAAACTATTTCCCCACTTTTCGTGCCAACCCGCCTACCTGCCCGACCGTCAAATCACCACCATTGATATCAATAGAGTAGCGCTCGCGGCCGTCAAGACCGAGAGTATCAGCATCAACTCCTTCCGGGAATTGTAGAGGAAGTATACCCATACCAACCAGATTAGATCTAAAACAAAAACAATGTCAAACTGCTGAGCATTTTCGTTCACCTATGAATTCTCTCGTAGCTCTTAGCAATGACCGCTTTAACTCCCTGAAGGCTCGGGCCCTTAGCAGCCCAGTCTCGACTCGAACCGCTGCCGTATTCCGAGCCAGCCAGAATCACCAACGGTTTTCCATTATCCATATACTTCTCAGCAGCATCATAAACATACATCTTCTCCCCTGTTGGGACGTACTCAGTCTTCGGACCAACCTGATCACTACTGATACTGTTCCCGGGGGGACTCATTTCGAATTCTCCACATGTCTAGGAACACATTTTTCGAATACTTTTCCACCTGAGTATTCCCATTCAACGTCCTAACTGCTCACCTCCCCATCCATCAGTTTGTTCACAAGACGAATATTAGCAAACGTCCCTCGAGCCATAACAAGGTAGTTGCCACGACGGCTACCATACGAATTGAAATCCTTAGGCTCCACTCCGTGCTCGATCAGATAGCGACCCTATAAGCACCGTGAACCTGTCCTGTTCGAGAGGAACTCTTACAGCAGGTGAATCAGCAGTGATCTTCCCAGCGGGCGAGATGTGGTCTGTAGTGATCGAGTCACCGAGGTTGAGCAAACAGTAAGCATCTTTGATAGACTCTAGAGGAGTCGGGGTGAGCTCAGTCTGAGACCATACATACCGGGAACAACAGCGAATGGGCGTTCTCTTGAAAACGCTAAGCTGCTGATTATAAGTCTGTTCATTTCCTATACATTCCTACACTGCTGTTCCACGTAACACTGTGTGAGAATATGCACATGGTCAGCTTCATGTGTCAGTGATAATATGAAATTTTTCGGTAATTCTTATTGGGTTCTGTACACCTAAAACTCCTGAGAGAAGCGAACATATATTCCCCCCCATACCATACCTTAGCGAAGAAAGGCGGATTAGTGATGTAGGTCGAATCGTCACTCCACTCGAACTGCTTCCCAGCTGGAGCATGCAGATCGTTCCACCTGATCAACGATATACGAAGTTCATCAACTACAAAGTCATGCAAGTTTACCTCTTATTTTGGCTCACAACCTTAGCATAGTTTTCTCTGAACATTTCCGGCCGTACACACTCCATCTCGACTCTTGCTATCTCCTCACTGCTCGGCCAGATGTCCCGCAAATACACAGGGCCCTCGGTGCCTCGACACAAGATCTCAGTCGTGTACAACAACAACAACAACAATAACATATACAACAACAACATATACAACAACATATACAACAACATATACAACAACATATACAACAACAACAACATATACAACAACAACATATACAACAACAACATATACAACAACAACATATACAACAACAACATATACAACAACAACAACAACAACAA